TTGGGGGAGCGCATAACTTTCTTCTCAAGACTTTCACTTCAAAAAATTATAAATAAGAAAATATAAAAGAAAATTATGCGCCTTCAAGCAGAGGTGGGATATGAGAAACATTTTAATTTTATATAGCAGAAATGTGACGTTATTTCTTAAACTTTTTTTGTTTAAAACTTTTTAACGAATGACATTCGACAATTAAAATTTTCTCAAGGTCACTCAAAGTCATGATCTTGACAATATAAGGCCATTGGGAGACCGGAGGGGGCTTCCCTAAACTATATATTTACCAATTAATCGGCAATGATTAATAGTGAGCCAATTAGTTTGTGAAAATCAAATGCATGTATAAATCCATGAATATATTGATACGCGATACAATTAATAAAACGAAAACTTCTGATTATTAATTGCTGTATGCAATTTCTTTCTTGGATTTAATTTTCAGTCACTAAATAATTAATTGATAATAATTTGTTAGTGATTTGGCATGAACCGCTCTCGTTGTGATAATGGCGGCATGTGTCCACACGCGTTTGTCCGGAATTCTCTAGCATGGGAAGTGTGCCCGAAGGACACACGTGTTCCTCTTGTCTGGAATTTATTATGAAATACTACAGTATCGAGATAACAAGGATTGTTGGGAATGTGGATTCTCTCATAAAATAATACTTTAATGACGGATCTCACAAATTTTCTATTTTTCTTTTTTCTTTTTCTTTCACTCTTTTTAATTCTGGCATTTAAATTCTCGAGGTTGGCTCATCATGACAGCATAATTTTTATTTACAATTTATTTATGTTAGTTTGTATTGTCTCTGAGGAGGGCTTAAAAGTGAACCGAAAGTGCATTTTAGTGAATAAAAAAGTTTCAAATTTCATAGCTATATTATTTGCGCGACGTCTTCTACATTGCACTTGACTCCTACTGTCCGTATTCTTTCTAGTTCTTTGCTTAGATATGTTATTATGTGCGTTTGTGAATGTGTTGTGTGGTATAGAAGAGAAAGGATAGACGGAATTAAAACAAAGGAGGTTTATAGGGGAATAGTATAATCGAGAAACTGGAATGATACAGGGACAGAAAATAGATAATCGGCTTCTTCGATTCGATTCGGACGACTCTGTTAGTGACGGAAACAGATGAAAAGGTCATAATAAATCAATTCGTCAATATTATGAAAAAAGAAGAGAATCGGGTAGAATATAATCATTGATGGTAAGACCAGTATCAGTAGGAGGAATTGGTGGATAATTCTCTAAAGGCGAAGATATGAGAGAAGAAATAGGGAAGAGATCATGAAAGGAGAGTAGTTATAGAGTTCTTAGGAATGTGCGGAGAAAGAAAATATGATATTTCTGTTTCTGGCGTAAGCTGAGACGAGATGATTCGATGGGATTCGGCTTGGTTCTCCTCAGGCGTTAACGTTATAAGCGGGCGGATACGAGCCAGTCGGTGAGAACAAACAATCCCCGTGAGACGACGGCGACAGAGAGTGAAATGATTGCGAGAACACACTGCAATGTTTTTTTATTTTCTATTATGGGGGAATTCGAAAAGGAAAATAGAAAAAGAAAAACAAAAAAATACAATAAAATAAAAAATACAATAAAACAAGAAATAAAACAATGTAAGAAAGATGAGAGGAACCAAAGAATAGCAAAATGCTGGATGTACTTATTAGGTGTACAACTTTGCTTCCGCCGCTTTTTTTCCGAAATTTGAAGCTTTATTGTAAAAAACTGGTTATACATTTATGATTCAAAATATTGTCCATCGCTGGCCACTACTTTCTCCCATCTTTCGGGTAGCATACAAATCCCGCGAAAAAACTGGTCATCTTTTGAGGCTATCCACGAATCGATCCAATTTTTTAGTTCTTCATAAAATCGGAAGTGTTGGTCGCCAGGCCGTGTGCCATTGATCGAAACAAGTGATAGTCAGAGGGAGCAACGTCTGGAGAATACGGCGGGTGTGGTAGGACTTCCCATTTCAACGTTTCCAAGTATGTCTTGACCACTTTCGCAACATGGGGTCGAGCATTGTCATGCCACAAAATCACTTTATTGTGTCTCTCTTTGTATTGCGGCCGTTTGTCTTTCAATGCTCGGCTCAAACGCATCAATTGCGTTCGATACCGATCGCCTGTGATTGTTTCAGTCGGTTTTAACAGTTCATAATACACTACGCCAAGCTGGTCCCACCAAATACAGAGCATGACCGTGGAGCCGTGAATATTCGATTTGGCTGTCGACGTGGAAGCATGGCCGGGAACTCCCCATGATTTTCTTGGGATTATCGTAATAAACCCATTTTTCGTCCCCAGTCACAATGCAATGCAGAAATCCCTTCCGTCTTTACCTTTCAAGCAACTGTTTACAAGCAAACAAACGCCGTTCAACATCTCTCGGCTTTAATTTGTACGGCACCCAATTTCCTTGCTTCTGAATCATTCCCATGGCTTTGAGGCGTTTTGAAATGACTTGTTGAGTTACTCCCAATAATCGTGCCAATTGTTTTTGATTTTAACACGAGTCTTGCTCAAATAATGCCTCCAATTCTGCATCTTCGAAAACCTTCTCTCTTCCACCGCTATGCCGGTCTTCGACGTCAAAATCACCGTTCTTGAAGCGTTGAAACCACTTACGACACGTTCTTTCACTAATAGCGGCCTCACCATAAGTATTTGAGAGCATTCGATGAGCCTCAGCCTCAGATTTCTTCATATTGAAGCAAAAAATTAAAACCTCCCGCAAATGACGAGAATTTGGTTCGTAAACTGACATTTTCAATCGAGAATAACTTTATGATGCAGACACAAATCGACTAATGTTTCCATAGGGTTATGTTGACAGATGCCCAAGTTTATTATATGACGTCTATGATCTATTTATTTCGACCACTTACCGCTAAAGCCTATAGGAAAACGGCGGAAGCAAAGTTGTACACCTAATACTATTGCGGTAGTCTAGAAGACCTTGTAAAATGAGAGGGCTCTTATCGGCGGATTCTGCTGATATTTAGTTGAGGCTGCGAGGTGTCCGAGCTTGATGATTCCCTCCAACACTGACTCTAAATCTTTAAATGTCGGTGGCCAAGTACGCGAGTTTAATAGAATTTCTCCCACATTGATATTAAATATGGAGTTTAAGTGTTGATTGGTTAAAAGAGAAATAAAAACTTCAAATCGTCAGTCTCCCAGAAAAAGAATCGGAAAATAGGCGTTGAGTTCCGCGGAACCGAAGTTTTTGTAGTAATTTGCCCTGATTAACAGCGCATCGATTGGTGGATAAGTTCGTTAATTAGGTGGTGAGATCTATTTCTTGTTTTGTAATTGGTCAAGGTTCGGAATACGCTTGGGGATGAAAAAAGATATTACTGGAATTTGTAGCGTTTGAAAGTATCATCTTTGTTTTTATCACAAATTAATAAATAGTAAAATCAAAGTTTATTTTTATTTTTATGATCTTAAAATTTATAAGAAAGCACATGTACAGTACGTCGAGGAAGCGTACATATACGTTGGCACGGAACCACCAAATACCACCCCCTGAACGTCATGTCTTAGATTTTATGACGGACTTGTGAGAATCCGCGACTTGACCGTTAGAAAGTATCTTTGCATCGATTTTACGCTCCTAAATGACATTTTTACAATTATTTACAGTTATTTATTATTTTTCACTATCTAATCTAATCACGGCGTTCAAGAAGAAATCTTCGATATCTCGTTTAGTCTCTCTATTCGTGTGCATGTTCATCGATTTTTAATTAATTTTATTTACGAGGAAATACTGAAGTCTTCGCTTATAGTCGTTTGTGAGAAAAAAAACTTTATAGCTTTTTAACCTGTTCGATTTGTTTGTAACAACTATCTTTATATCTCGACGGACTCCAGATTTCCACACAAGAAAAGGGTTGGATGTAACACTACAATATCTCATACATTGTTACAAAATTAAAATGTTTTTTTCTATAGGCTTTTTTTAAGAAGATGTTTTCTCGGAATTCGATCGGATATATGAAAAATGTTGAATATCCGTCTCGAAGAAATTGCTTACTCGGATATCCGATCGGATATACCAGGATATTCAATATATTTTGTCCGGATATCCGATGTCCAGTAATTTTATGATTCGATGCATCCTTGCTTTTTATAAAGTTATAGGAATTTCATTTCAATATATACGGATTACCACAGACTAAACAGGACCCACGAATTGTGCAATTCATTTGCAAATAAAGTGGTTATATTTTTAAGAAATGTTTACGAATGTTTGTGAACATTTTATTCTCGCTTTGGCTAGCTCATTAGCAAATACTTGCAAAACGTTTGCAAACATCTTTTAATCATTTTATTCATTTAAACAAATATATATAATAATTCAATATCTTAACATTTATACCGTAGTGGCGCTTCGTATTTAAAGTAATTGTATAACATAAACGGTCTTATTTCCAATCTTATTATCTTTTAATCGTGTTTGATGGGTTCACCGAACTTATATAAGTTGCAAATGTCTTGCACGGTTGGTGGATACTGGGCTAAATGATATGGATTAATTAAGGAGGCGGTTTTAACATTGCTAATTGGCCAATTTATAATAACATATTTTGATAAGATAGTGAAATGTTACTAAGCACCAACCGATGTGAATGAATATGTGCTATGATATTGTGCAATAATGGAATTCTTCCATAAGAACAATATCTCAGAATCTAGTTAACCAATCAAATTCTTTTATATTTTTGTTCCGTTCTGAGATTTCTCACTCTAGTTCTGTGACCGCATCTTTACTTAAGATCTCAAAATTAGAATTGACACATAAATATAGGCTTAGGATCTCATCAATAATATATATGATATTAAAGTAAAAATAATTAAAAATAACACTGAGCATTTATAGTATTTTAACCATATCGAATTGTTTTACTCAAAAGAGAAGCCAATTTTTTATAACAATTGTATCCATGTATTCTGATAATAGTTAAATTATATTTACAGGTGAAAACATTTTTAAACCTACAACAACAGGCAGCAGAAGTAATGGCAGCAGTTGCCATTTGGGAATTGGAATTGAATGATGTTGAGTTGGAGCTAGGAAATGTTAATAAACACGAAAAGTTATGTATAAAAGAAATTGATCCTTTATACAAGTGAGTAAATTTTTTCTTAATAATCATTTTGTATATAATCATTGCATTAAATACTAAGTAAGAATATTCGAATTTATAACGGTCGAAGCTAGACCTTTAATGCTTAAATAATTCAATATGAATTATATACAATACATACTATATGTGCATATATACCATATTTGTAGCTATTCAAACTGCGCGCCAAATTGGTTTTCTGGACTTACAAACGCAATTAACTACTGAAATAATATCACAGATTAAATTAAATTGACAATTGAAATCTTTTTCAATTCGGTATCATAAAAGGATGTCAATGTGTTGAAAACTTTAAATTTATTGCGAAAAATGTTACCTCAGCCGGGACTTGAACTCGGATCTCTTATATTCCGTACGAGCGTTCTAAGCCATTAGACTGAGGCCTTAGTAATATTCTTCGCAATAATTGATATATGCAGGAATAATAACACTTCTTTCAGGCAACGTGCAAACAATAATAATTAATTTTATTAAGACCATAATGTAATAAATACTAAGTAAGAATATTCAAGCCTATAACGGTTGAAGTTAGATCTTTAATGTTTAATTAATTTATGTGAATTATATATGTTGGGAGTACAAATAAGTTTCCGCCATTTTTTATCAAAAATTAAGCATTTATTGTGAAAGAACGGTACATAATGTTTTATTCAAAATAATGGCCATTGCTAGCCACTACTTTTTCCCATCTTTAATTCCCTTTCTAATAGCATGTGGATACCACGTCAGAAGAATGCTTCATCTTTTGAGGCTATCCAATCATCGGTACAATTTTTGGTATCTTCATGTGATGTGAAGTGCTGCTCAGACAAGCCATGCGTTATCGATCGGAACAAGTGGTAATTGGAAGGAGCAATGTCTGGAGAATGGCTGGGGTAGAACTTCCCATTTGAGTGTTTCTAAGTAGGTTTTGACCGGCGTCGCAACATGTGATCGAGCATTATCATGCAGGAGAATAATTTTATCATGCCTGGAGTAGGGGTGCGTTTTTCCTTGAGTGCTCGACTCAATCTCATCAATTGTGTTCGGTAGAGAACCCCAATAATGATCTCGTTCGGTTTGAGCAACTCACAATACATGACACCAAGCTGATCCTACCAAATACACAATATGAGTTTTTTTTCATGAATATTCGGTTTGGTTGTCGATGTTGAAGCATGGCCAGGTGGTCCCCATGATTTCCTCTTCTTTGGGTTATCCAGTAGTAGTGGATCCATTTTTCATCACAGTGACTATACGATGCAAAAAACCCTTTCGTTTATGCCTAGCAAGCAGCATTTCACATGTGAAAAATCGGCGTTCAATGTTTCTCGGCTTCAGTTCATATGGAACCCAATTCCCTTGCTTTTGAATCATTCCCAATAATTTCAAACGATATGAAATTTTTGAGTCACTCCTAATGTAAGTGCAAGTTCTTTTTGCGTTTGGCACGAATCTTCATCCAATAATGCTTCCAATTCCGCGTACACTTTTGGTCTTCCGCTACGTTCTTTGTCTTCGATGTTAAATTCACCGTTCTTAAACTTTTGAAATCACTCACGACAACTTCTCTCACTTAAGCATCACTATATGCTTCTACAAGCAATCTATGAGCCTCAGCTGCAGATTTCTTCAAATTAAAGAAGTAAATCAAAAGTTCCCGCAAATGATGCTTATTCGGCTCAAAACTCGACATTTTCATACAAAAAAAAGTATATGATGCTGATACAAAATCGCTAATATTTCAAGGTTGCCGGATGTCCAATCTTACATATGTCGTTTTACATCAAACAATTTTAACTATAATTTATTAGTGGCGCCGTTTGCAAAAGATATATACTATATAGGGTGTACCGGATTTAGCGCACATATTTCTCATGAAAAAGTACATTTGAAAACTATTGAAGTCTTATAACCAACCACAGGGCATAAAATTCGCGCCTTCAGGAGCAATTAAGCGGTTGGCCAAGCGAACGCTTTAACGGACGTATCGCTCAACGGTGCCGAACGAGTATTACAAAATTTCGTGAAATTTCTATATTAATTTCTATATTAATTACCGTATTCTTAAATTGAGTTCAATTTAATTGATGAGAAGTAATGTCAATTACAAACTCGATAAATAAATAAATTTATAAATAAAATCAATATTAATTAAATGAGCCAAATAAATAATGTTAAAAACATCAACTTTATTTATTTAAGCATTAAAGATCTACCTTTGATCGTTATAGGCTTGAATATTCTTATTTAGTCTTTATTACAGTCTTAATAAAATATTTATTTTTATTATCATTGTATTAAATTAGTCAAAGCTAAATAGGTTCCGGGACAAACGTTTGTCCTTAAAATATCGTATTCCGGTCTCAATTTTAAAATGATTTTCCTTTATCTAAATTTTATCCTTAGTTTTTTAATTATAAGAAAGAATATTAATTATAGACTACATAAGGTAGGCGGCGCCATTCATTATACAAGCGCTGACTGCGATCAATTGCTTATTACACACGAAATGCGTAACACAATAGTTTGCGTATATAGGGCTTGGCAAAATATTTGTTTTTTATATTTGTAATACAAAATCAGAAAAAGTATAATGGGAAGTCAGCGCAGTAATTGCACAAATGTAATAATTATAGTTTAATAAATCATATAATATTTCAATCATATATAATAATATAATTTCGATATACTTTTATTTCATTCTCAACGGCAAGTTAATCAAATATAATGATTCATTCCAATTCCATTCATGCAAGTGTGCAGCAATTATAATGCAAGCAATACCAAATCAAAAATATTTTCCAAGTTCAATTAACTGACCGGAATAAAACAAGAAACCCTTATGACCATAGGTTACAAAAAAAAAGGAACTATAGTACCAGACATTGAAATTAAAAAAAAAGGGAACATAGCCTTATCAAATTGCAGCAACTCGCATGTTCACAAACCATATGTGGCGTATTAGCGTTGATCACTGGTATCACTGGTATCACTGCGGATCGGGATAACCGATAGAGAGCAATGAAAAAAAAGATTTTCTTGCTCTTTATAACCAAATATATATATTTTTCAGTGTGTTGATATAAAAAATGAAATAAAAAAACAAATTTATTTAAAAAATTTAATAAAATTAAAATATAAATAATAATATAAATCTAATCTATTACAAAAAAATGTTTTTTAATTGAAATAAAAATAAATAATAAAAACACAAAATTAAAAATGCTAATCTAGTTAAAAAATTAAATAAAAACATACAATTATTGTAGATAAAGCTTTAACAAGTTTAAAATAATGTTTAATTTACAGCAGAAATATTCTGTATATATCATATCGATATCCTATAGATGTTGAAACATGTTTCCTTACGGCTGTCCCTGTGATATAATTTGGACATTTCTGTATGAGTTATTATTAAATACCAAAATTGACACCTTATATAACTAAAGCATTAAAAAAAACAATGAGTTAAAGATTTTTAAATTAAGAATGAAATACTTTTATTAACGCTATAATTCTTACAAGGGAAGTACACACAACTGTCAGGAACCGATTTTGATTCTCCATGATATGTTGTAAAACACGAAAATCTAAGAGACACGTATTTTTTTATCCGTGCGCTAACTCATGTTTAAGGAGTGAAACACCTCTTTGAAAAGAAAGAGTATTTTTCTTTCAAACCGAATATCGTCGGGAGTATAAAAGATACAAAAAAATGTTTTAAATAAAAGTTATACGATTTCAAAAGTAAAAAACTTTAAATTTATAAAGAAAAAAAATTTTTTTTATTTTTTTTCTTTTAAAGAGATTTATTTAACAACCCCCCATTCGTAATTTTCTTAAATTTTTAATTTTTTTTTTTATCAAATTAAAGATTATTTTCTTACAAATTTAACCATGTGTAATAAAGTTATAATACGATATATCATTTTCAAGAATTAATTGTTAACGCTTCCGTATATAAGCTATCCATGTTCATATGCGAAAGTAATTGTCATCGGAACAATAAAATATATAAATCAATGAATAATGAAATTGATATTTGTAACATTACAAATTATAAATAATGTTAAGAGTTATAATATTTTATTATTTCTCCTTGAAATGAGTAAAACTTTTTTATTCATCTCTATACATTACTTCCTTATAATATCTTAAGATTATTCTTTTAAAGTTATTTTCAGTTTTATGCTTTAATATCTTATTACTATCTTATTACTTATCGTTTATGTAATAATTTCAAAACGTATATATTATACTAATTAGTAATGAAACAATTTGTAAATGTTTATACACAATACATTTATATTTTGTATCGTTTACTCATTACAATAATGATGATGAAAAAATGTTTTAAACATAATGACTTCTAGCATCATGAACATTTTACTGTAGGTGTACAACTTTGCTTCCGCCGTTTTTTTTCCGAAATTCGAGGCTTTATTGTAAAAAACTGGTTATACATTTATGATTCAAAGTATTGTCCACGCTGGCCACTACTTTCTCCCATCTTTCGGGTAGCGTACGAATCCCGCGTCGAAAAAACTGGTCATCTTTTGAGACTATTCACGAATCGATCCAATTTTTTACTTCTTCATAAAACCGGAAGTGCTGGTCAGCCAGGCCGTGTGCCATTGATCGAAACAAGTGATAGTCAGAGGAAGCAACGTCTGGAGAATACGGCAGGTGGGGTAGGACTTCCCATTTCAACGTTTCCAAGTATTATGTCTTGACCACTTTCGCAACATGGGATCGAGCATTATCAAGCTGCAAAATCACTTTATCATGTCTCTCGTTGTATTGCGGCCGTTTGTCTTTCAATGCTCGGCTCAAACGCATCAATTGCCTTCGATACCAATCGCCTGTGATTGTTTCAGTCGGTTTTAACAGTTCATAATACACTACGCCGAGCTGGTCCCACCAAATACAGAGCATGACCTTGGACGTCAAAATCACCGTTCTTGAAGCGTTGAAACCACTCACGACACGTTCTTTCACTA